CGGCCAAATTGTAACCGCCTCGGAGTTAAAGCCTTACCTTATTTAGTGCCGAAATCCAAGCGTTCGGACTATCGTCATGCAAAGAGTAAACCGTTTTAGCAACAGACTCGCTGGTGACGATAACACTTGGTGGTGACTGTGAGATAGGAACGCTTGTTACCCCCCCTCTGATAAAATTGCGTGAACGAATACAGAAGTAATTTTGTGAAAAGAGAGACGTGAATTAACCAAACTCTATTCAAGGAAAGACAGACTATAGTATTGTAGAACAACGAAAAAACAAGACCTTGCCTTCTTCGAAAAGTCGGAACAAACTCGTGATCATCTCATGATTTTTGGTTGATTATTAGTTAAAACGGAAAGATGGATGATCTTTTCTGTGAAGACAACGAAAACTTGATCGAGTTAGAAACATCAAAGACGAATGAACAACAGGACGTTTTGCGAAACCTGGTGAACGTGCTTACTCAATTAAATGTAGGACGCCAAGAACCAAGGACTGAAACAAGAGAAGAAAGAAGAAGAGAAGCCCAATGGGTTAGGATACGTGAATTCAAAGGTGAGGAGCTTGAGGATCCATATTCGTGGTTGGAACATTATGAAAAGGTGGCGAAAGCGAACCGTTGGACGAACGAAGATAAATTGGAAATGGTGGTGAGTTATTTAGAAGGAATGGCCTCAGATTGGTATGAGGAATAAGAGGCTCAATTAACTTACTGGAATAATGAGTGCAACCGCCAAAGAAGTTTCGTGCTGAATTTCCTTCAATACTTTGTGTCAATTGAACAATGACAGCGATGGCAAGCTGAGTTGTTTAGTTTAAAACAGGGGAACAATGAGAAGGTAATGGCGTACGCCTACAGGTTTAAGCAACTGTTAAAGAGGGTTGACTCTGGTGGTGAATATACGAGAGTTTGTGTAGTAAGAATGTTTACAAATGGGTTAAAAGGGAGGATGGCATCCATACCCACCATGGCAAACTCAATCTCACTAAGAGAGGTCATTGACGAGGCAAAAAAGGTCGAAAACAGGTTAGGTTTCATGATGGATGAAGAGACGAGTAGGACTAGAAAAATGGAAAATGATATTCAAGAACTACTTAAGCAGGTACGGGAAATGAAAGAAGGTTATGTAAGACCAGTGTCTGGAGGGCAGGGCGGCATGACTAGAACGAAAACCCTAAATGGAACAGGAGAGAGAAGTTGTTATACGTGCGGAGAGAAAGGTCACTTCGCAAGGAATTGCCCAAATAAGGAAAATAACGCTAAGGACGCTACATCGACCAACGTGGTTCAATTTACCATTCTGGAGGATGATAGTGAAAATGAGAACCAAGTGTACGTAGGAGATGAAGACTATCCGTACGGTAGCAGCAGTAAGAGAAAAAAGTTGCTCCAAAGTCGGAATCTGTTTGGGAAGGGCGGTTAAGGAGCAGGCCAAATCCAAATGTGCCGGTCCTTGACTACGATGACGATAGACCATTACCGGATGAAGATGAGGAGATGAAGGAAGCACCGTCTGTAAGGAAACCTCGCAGGAAGAGAGGTTCATCAGTGGTGGAACAGGCACCCGCATACAGTATAGTAGAGGACATTTTGGCTAAACCCGCGAGTGCCACAATCGGGCAAATGCTATAATACGCAAACCAGCGTAAAATGTTGGCAAAAGCCCTTCGTAGATCGCCGCCACCGCCGGAAGAAGAAGAGACAAACTTTGTCAAAACGGAGGAAAAGAAGACGTCAGCTATGAAATGTCAAATTAAGGTGAGAAATATACCCATAGTCGTCATGATCGATACAGGAGCTGCCGTGAGCTTCATCACAAAGAAATTGATGGACCGGCTCAAGTTGAAGATCGAGGAGAAATCGACAAGCATGATAGTGATTCTCACAGGATTAAGAACTAGGACCTTGGGTAACATCAACAGTCTTAAAATCACGATACAAGGAAGCCAAATCCCAACACCACTACAAGTAGTAGACTCGACCGACGAGACCTTTTTGCTAGGCAATGACTGGTTCGAGAGGGTGAAGGCCCAGATATATTATGATGAACAAAGGTTGGTTCTCAAACACGCAGAAAAAGTAATTAAGGTACCTATCTCCAATGATGTCATGAAGAGGGTGCCAGCAGATGAGGTAAACATCACGGAAGAATCGGATAATGGTACGAACGAAGAGGAAGAAACAGATCGCATCTTGGATGAGATTATATATGAGGAAGAGGAGGTAGACGAAAAAGAATGATACTTCATAGAAGAGGTCGTAAATGATTCAGAATCGGATCAGGAAACTCAGGAGAGCGTACTGGGTCCGGCGGCTTACTTATCTCAGATCGAAGAGCTCCCCACGACAGTCAACGAGGAACAGGTGGAGACGTTGGAGTATAAGATTGAGGCAATGGAATTAGCAAAGGAGTTGGCGGAGGAACAGGTAGAGCAAGCAAAAGGGTTGCTGCTGAAGGAAAGGGATATCTTTGTGCAATCTGTTCAAGAATTAGGAAGTACCGAAGTAGTGCAACATGCTATTGACACAGGAACCGCAACTCCAATCAAGCAGCACGCATATAGGGTTGCTCCGGATGTCAGAGAGTTTATTAGAGGGGAGGTGATGCAGTTAAAGGAGAGAGGTTTGATCCGGGAATCACAAAGTCCGTGGACTTCCCCTATCGTGGTGGTACCAAAGAAGGAGGAAAAATTGAGGCTATGCGTTGACTTCCGAAAATTAAATTTGGTGACCAAAAAGAACGCATACCCCTTACCTTGGATCAATGATTTGATCGAGACTTTCGCTGATGCCGAGTGGTTTAGTACGATCGATCTATTGTCTGGCTATTGGCAAGTAATGATGAAGAAGGAAAACAGGGAAAAGACTGCATTCGTAACATCCTGGGGGACTTACGAATTCAACGTCATGCCCTTCGGACTGTGTAACGCACCAGCTACATTTCAACGGCTAATAAATACCATTCTTCACGAATTTATAGGGAAGTTCGTAGTGGTATATTTAGATAATATCACGATATATTCAAAAACATTCGAAGAACACATAGTACACATTGGATTAGTGGCAAAAAGGCTGAGACAGGCCGGCTTGAAATTAAACCTCTTTAAGTATAAGTTTTTCCGAACCAACATCAATTTTTTGGGTCACGTCGTTGAGAGAGATGGAATTCGACCAGACGATGCTAAGATCGAAAAAGTCAAGAACTTCCCAGTGCTGAGAAAAGTCTGACAACTGCGAGGGTTTATCGGCTTAGCCTCGTACTATCGTCGATTCATTGGAGAATTTGCGACGATTGCCCGACCT